CTCTCTCTCTCTCTCTCTCTCTCTCTCTCTCTCTCTCTCTCTCTCTCTGTCTCTGTCTGTCTGTCGGTCTGTCTGTCTGTCTTTCTGTCTCTCTCTCCCTTTTTCTTATTATTTATTATTTATTTTATTATTTATATCTCGACGTCTATATACAGTCTATTTAATTTACTAGTATAATATAGACGCGCACTATTTAACTAATAAAAACAATAAAAAATAAAAAATAATAAATAGAAATAAATAAAAAATTAAATTAAATTAAAATACACAATTAATAAGTGTATTAATATTCAATTAACATGTGTAATTATTATTTTGAAAGTAATGTTACATCAATTGTATAAATATATATATTATATATATATATATATATACAATTTAATATCAATTACTTCTTATTAACGAAAACAGCATTATCACATATTGTACGATATACGTCAAACATATTGATACCCGACTACTTTGTTAAGAGAATATGAAGAAAGTGGCAAGTGATACTTGGCTTGCCGTTGCCTTTCGAAAGGAGACAAGTGTGTGAAAATTTTTCGGTTCTGTCGAGAATCGAATCTGAAGATCTTCGATATGATAGATCAGTGCGCTGTCTCTGTCATATCACGCTCGCTCTCAATATTTAACACGTGTCATAATGTATAGTAGGGCGATTCATACAAATTATGATTATATCCGTATTTTTCAATTTTAATAAAAGTAAACTTTAACAAGTTTTATTTCTAAAAGGTTTTTATTGAGACGTATATTAAAATATACCTGTGTGCTCGAAAAGAATATATATTTTTATTGTCGCAAGCTTAGAGAAACGAGTATTCCATTCTTTTATATTCGTCGACATTGAGTAATGATTGGCATTCGGCGTTGAAGCGTATAATCTCTATTACGGCAATATTATATTTGCCAGTGTACAAATGTAAGCGTAGTTATCGAAGATGACAACGATTTATCCATGCAATGTTTTTTTACGATATACACAGATCACTGATGTACGTACACACAATTTAATATCGATTACTTCTTAGCAACTAAAGCAGCAGTATCACATGTAACACGATGTACATCAAAGATAATCAAGTGGTACTAAATGCACGACTCAAGCTTTAGTGATTGCTGATGATTGATCCGCCCAAGCTTCCCATTTGTCCTGAAGAAACATTTCACATACGCGCTGTGTTTATGGATTTTCGTACGTTTAATAGCCGAGTGAGTGCCAACAATGTGTTCCTCTCTATTTTCTATATCTATCCTTATATCAATAGAACGAACACGTCGAAATATAAAATAAATATTTAATTAAAAAATTTATATACAATTAATTTTTTAATTATAATTAAATATTCCTAAGAATCTCTCTCTCTCTCTCTCTCTCATTTTCTCTTTCTCACAGCTAATTTTCGCTAGCACCCGTTCCTACGAAAAATCAGACACCTCGTTATCTTTTACCGAGAAAGAAAATATTCGATTGTTTGCAGATTGGGTACAGTTACCATTACATCAAGAGACCTTTGTTCGTCTTACTAAACAACCACGAAGATACGAGGACTGAATTTATGAGTGTAATTATATCTTAGCAACTTCAAAAACGCTCAATTACAAAATCGTTGATGAAAATAGCCATTAGTAGCACAAGTACAATAATTTTTATAAGTTTTTAACAGATTTTTATACTTATACTGCAGCTTTTAAACAATATCTATATTTAACGAAATTTATCCAAATTCCTTTAAAGCTTGTACAAATAAAAACATTTCTTTCTATGCTCTTACCAAACTCTCAACATAATAATTATATTCGCGAGTCAGATAGATAATTAATAGGATAAAATTTACATTTGCGTGCTCTTTCACATTAAAGTTTCTCAAAGAAGACTTTAATCGCAATTTGCTGTATTTATAAAACATGAAAATTCGAGAAACGTGAGGCGAAGAGACGGCGTAAATGTTTATTTATCGAAATGCAGCAGGTTTCAACGTGGATCACGATGTCTTATCCCACCTGGTTGATCTTCTTCGATAACGCGACCGAACTTGCAGAA